TTTGACAGGGTCACACACAGTGTAACCACTATGTTCTGTGCCCGAATTACAAACCAAATAAATAAACAGTGTCTTAAGTCAATAATCATGCAAAGGATTGCACACAGCAATACAAAGCATTATTTGCATATGAGTGTTGTGTGTTACAATTAAAACATTGGGTGTTGCCCTGAAAGATAATTTTCTTCTATAATTTCCAAATTATCCTTAATTTGAAATATAAAGGATCAGTGTGTGGTTGTAAGAGATTTTTCATAGTTAGGAATTAGCACTTCTACATCAGTCCTACTGAAACTATTGGCAGTAAAAGGCAAGACTACACAACACACAGGCCCCATTTAAGTCAGTTCTGCTGATATTAATAAAAAGGCAATATTTACCCGATTTCTACCTACATGACAGCACTTTTAGGCTGTGTCTAAACTACATGGCTCCGTCGACGGAGCCATGTAGATTAGGGTTATAGGCAAAGGGAAATGAAGCGGCGATTTAAATAATCGCCGCTTCATTTAAATTTACATGGCTGTGCGCTAGTCTGGACGCTCCCCTGCTGACATCAAAGCCCTTTGTCGGCAGCCCCGTTATTCCTCGTGGGATGACGTTTACTGGGGCGGGCGACAAAGGGCTTTGATGTTGGCAGGGGAAAGCGGCGATTATTTAAATCGCCGCTTCATTTCCCTTTGCCAAAACAACAAATCTACATGGCTCCGTCGATGGAGCCATGTAGTTTAGATGTACCCTTACTGAGCAATGACAGTCCAGGAATCTAATTATTGAAATGCATTTCAACAGAAGACCAATATATTGACTCACCATTGTGCAGTGTGTTCCCAGTGGAGGCCATGTTCAAAGGATGCACCTGTTGGTCATGTGTTGAGCCCCACGTAAACCCAAATCATGCCAGGAGCTGCAAACAAAGGGGTCGCGGGCTGCAAGCAGACCACGGGTTGCTTGTTAAGTAGCCCTGGCCTAGATTAGTGTTTCTCAACCAGAGGTAGGAGTACCCTTAGGGGTACTCGAGAGAAGTCAGGGGATATGTCAACACAACTGAAATTTGGAGAAAAATGATTTTTTTGTAAGTTTTACAGCACTTCATTATTTTTGTACTTTTTAAACTCAAAAATTTCATTGCCCACCCAACTACGATTAAGTTCTTTAAACAAATGTGTTGCAATAGTAGAAAAAGATTTTGTGTGTCTGAAAACTGTAGGTACTGGTGATATATATATATATATGTATATATTTTTTTTTTTAAAGGGGTACTTTATTTAAAAAAAGGTTGAGAAACACTGGCCTAGATAATACTTATTCCTATCCTGAGTGCACAGGACTGGACTACATGAGCTCTTCGGAACCCTTCCAGTTCTATGATTTTAAAACATGTATTTGTTGTGAAAATATAGGCAGGAAACAGTTTTCCTTTCCTTTGAATATTTTGCGAGATCATTGTTTCACATCCCCTTCATTGTCTTATACTAAAATACAATCTAAAAGATAATCATGAACTGAAAAAAACCAAATTAAATATCTTGGCTAGATTTAATTTTTTTGTTACTTTTAAAAAAAAATCTAACTAACTTAAATTTCTAAATGAAATAGTCATTGTAAACCAGAAGCCTGGGATTTTTCATTCACATGAGCAAAATGTTGTAGGGTTGTTTGTACTTTTTTTTCTCAACATTACTTCAAGTTAGAAAATTTGTTGAATAACGCCCTATTTCATAAACTGTTTTGGTTCAGACCATTCAGCATTTTTCCCTGAATATAGATTAATATAAAACTATGTTCCCAGCTTCAGGATAGGCAGAAGTTTCCTTTTCTGCATTGAGCCTTTTCCTCCCAACTGATTCATTCAGTGATAACCCAGTCCTGTGTGTGTGTGATATCCTAATCTCTTGTTACAATAGCTGGAGAAGATGTTTATCTCACACCCTTTACAGATAATATTCTATCTGTGGGGTTATGCAAACTGAAGATAGTGGCTGATAAACATGAAACCTCTAAGGACTAGATTCTGTTGCTACCATGGTTCTTACACATAGGAGTGATATAGAGTTGTACTGGCCCAAGGGGAGCATGTGGAAGCAGTCTGTATCAGAAAGGCTTTGTTCCAGCAGGGGCGGGGGGAAGAGGGGAGATGTAATATCTTTTACTGTCTGTTGATGAGAAATTTGCTAGCACTGAACTTGCCCTATTTTACCAGCATCACAATGTCCCCAATAGTTAAACTAGTACTATTTTTTGGCATGGCCATAGTGTTGACTAAGAACTAACCAACTCTTGGTTAGAACTAAACCATTTCACCTGTATGTTCATTTTGATCAAAACGGGTATTAATCTTATAAGAATGTACTTAGTGTTTAGACTCTGAAATGATTTTACAGTTCTTCATCCATTACTCTTACTTGTAATATCTGTATTTCATGCAGCAAGGTAAAACAACTTATGTTTTACAATTGTAAAAATACCCACAACTTGTGAACTCAGAAGGGAAAGGTTCCTCCCCCAATCAAGAACAACTATCAAGACTTGATGGGCCATCTAGGACAAAAATGGTTTTGCTGGCTGCCTCTTCTAACCATAAAGAAATTACATGCCCAGTTTGAATGCTGAGGGAAGGTCATATAAAGATTCTCACAGGATGTTCTCTTTGCTGTCTGAAGTCTCCCAGGGCCAGAGACACTAAAGCTCTGTCTACACTGGACAGCTAACAACACTGCAACTGCACCAATGCAGCTGTGCCACTGTAAAATCTCTCATGTAGCTGCTATATGCCCAGAGGGGAGAGATCTCCCATCAGCATAATTAATCCACCTTCAACTAGTAGTTGTACCTTTGTCAGTCTCTATCCCAAAATAATTTACATCGGGGGGGGGGATATTTATACTCTAAGCAACATAAATGTTACTGACATGAGTAGTAGTACAGACAATCTACATTAATGCAGAGATACCCAGGGTTAATCTGGATCTAGCCCGAAGAACATTTTGAACTGGCAGATTATCATGGTAACTCCTTTGTTTGTATATGCTTGCTTGCTTTAACCAATAACTAATCTTATTCCTCTTTCCTAGATAAACCTTAAAATGGTAAGAGAAGTGGCTACAGGGCATTGCGTTTGGTGTAAGATGCAGGGTACCTATTGATGTCGGGGTTAGAGCCAGGTCTCTTTGGATGGGTAGCAACTTGAATAATTTGTTATTTTTTGTGTATGTGACTGTTTATTGCTAAATCCAGATTACCCGGGTGACAAATAAGATGGGAGACCAAAGGGGACTGTCTGTGACTCCATGATAAAATTGTGACCATGATCCAGTAGTACTCACTTATTACTGTGCTGATGAATTCTAAGGGCATGTCTACACCACAAACAGAAAACCACCTTCATGAGAGGCATACAGCTGTGATGCTTTTGTGGTGATGTGCAAGTGAAGGGACGGTCATCCTGTTTACATAGCTTTTAATCTTGGGAGGATATCCGACAGTACCTACAAGACAACTCTAGCCAGCAGATTTTCTGCTCTGATCCAGGTTAACGGAGGTCTTCTCCTCCTCCTGTAAAGCCCTGGGAACTTTGAAACGTCCTTTACTGTTTTCTTTGCAAGTGCTCACTAATCATCTGGCCAAGTGACAAGGGCTTCTCCACATACTAAATGAACCGCTGGTTGGAACAACACTGAACTACTGGAGCCAGATAAGTGTTTGGGGAGAGAAGATTGTACAGGGATCCAGGATTCCCTGTGATCACCCTTCCCCTGCCCACAAGAACTATCCTCAAAATAGAGAGAGCTACACTGTGGGATAGCTGCCCTCAATGGCAATGAAGGTGCTGCAAAAATGAACACGATCTGATGACTGCAGAAGTAAATGAGAACACAAAAGCAATGTTCTTTTACCAGTTCTCTATCACTAGTGAAACTGACAATGCACAAACTCTGTAAGTGCAGACATGGAGTAATTATAGAATGTACTACCAGTTTGTGGTGTCTGTCCTGTTTTTGACACACAAAAACCTGTTGGAGAACACTTTAACCTGTCTGGGCATTCATTAATGGATCTCAACATCACCATGTTGTTTCAGGCCAATTCCACAAGCCAAATAGACAGGAAAGGGTTGGAACTTAACTTCATTTACAAGTTTGATTCCTATCATAGAGGTATGAATGAAGACATTGATTGGCTCCCATACTACCTTCCACATCCTAATGACTTAACCAACTACACAATGGGCACTTAGAGAAAGTGCAAATTGGTCTCATCAGCTTCTTGCAACTTGAACGCTCTTAACATTTTCTCCCTTCTTTCCTCCCTCCTGCCCCTTCCCTTATTTATTCTTGGATCTGAACTTTTAGTGCTCCATTCATCTGAAGAAGTGGGCTGTGCCCACGAAAGCTCATGATACCATCTACATGTTTTGTTAGTTTTTAAGGTGCTGCCAGACTATTCGTTGTTTTTTAAAAAATTTCTCTTTTTGACAGTCTGCCCAGAGATAGGCATTCACAGTCATGAGCCACTCCATGCCGTATGAGCAACATCCTATCATTTAATATAATGTAATGTACCTATGGAGAATAATATGTATTTATTTCACCTGTTTTCATCACTTTAAATTCATTATTCATATATATATATATATATATATATA